TGAGTCCTGGCTCTGACCCAGGCAGTGATCTCAAGAAACTAGCAGAAAGGTCAGGCTTTGGAGGCAAGTTGAAGTTCCTCGCTATGGGCCAAGGCCAAGAAAAGGTACTGAAGACTTCTTAAGTCTGGTCAAGTGAATTGAGTGTAAGGATCACTAAGTAGTCACACTAAGTAAAAATAAAAAGTTAAGAAGTTGAGAGTAATTGCAGTTGCTGGAGAGGGCTGTGTCCCGTGGTCAGTGGTTGATGCTACAGAACTGCCACCTGCTGGTAAAGTGGCTACAGGAACTGGAGAAGTCCTTATAGAGGATCACCAAGCCCAACCCCAACTTCCGTTTGTGGATCACCACTAACCCCATTAAGGATTTCCCCATTGGTATCCTGCAAAAGTCTCTAAAGGTGAAACACATTTTCTCTACCTTCAGCAGTTTGGATTTTTGTAGATGGGAGGGTTAAGTTTCTAAAATCACGCAAGGAATTCCTCAAATACATGTTGTATTTTATGCTTTTATTCTGTATGTTGGCAGTATGACATTGTAGTATTTCAAGTACAGCAAGGTGATACTTTTTAAAAATTGTACACACCAGTGGGGGATAACCACATTCAATGAGCATGGAAGTAACAGTCACATACTCCCAATACATATCAGAATGTTTTTTGAAACTAGTGAAAAATCTCAAACAAGGGTGGTTTAATGACAGTTATATTTCACTTTTTAGTGGTTTAAACTATGTAACTGTGCTCAACAGGTGTGTATGGAGATCCTGGACACCTACCTGACCAAAGCTCACAACCAAGGAGACAGCAATCTTCCCTGGGGAAGTCTTAAATACCTTATTGGGGAGGTTAGGCTGAACTCATTATGTTTAAATAAATTGTATATTCATTATGTTTCTAGCTTATGCTGCAAGTTTCGCTTGTCCGTATAATGTTTTCTAGGTGATGTATGGTGGGCGAGCCATAGATAGCTTTGACCGTAGGATCCTGACTGTCTACATGGATGAGTACCTTGGAGACTTCCTCTTCTACAACTTCCGGTGCTTCCACTTCTTCTGCAACAAGGACGTAGATTACAAGATCCCTCCAAATGGCCCAAAGAATGTATATGTTGGTCAGTTGTTGTTTTCATTATGTCAAATTGCCTTATTTTAAAAAAAGAGAAGTAAATGTTCTTTCATCACTCACAGCTATACTCTGTTACAGATGAAATTGAGACACTGCCACTGGCAAACACATCAGAGGTAACGGGTCTTCATTCCAACGCAGAGATAGGATACTACACGCAGGCAGCTAAAGACATGTGGCGTCACCTAATAGACCTGCAGCCTCAGACCGGTAGGATTTACTTTTCATCTCTCTTGCCTCTCTGAGAGCAGAAGAGCATCCTCAGAAATAATATATATTATTTTTCAAATGGAGAAGCTGTTCCATACTGTTAAAGGGTGTTTGCCTTTCACTCTTTTCCACCATGCTGACAAGTTACACACTCTCTTATGCCTCAGGTGAATCTGGTGGAAGCATCAGTAGGGATGAGTACATCAGCCAGGTGGCCCAGGACATTCAGAACAAGCTGCCCAAGTTATTCGACATGGACGTGATCCGTAAAAAGTTTGGCACAGACGTTTCCCCAACCTCAGTGGTGCTGCTTCAAGAACTGGAGCGCTTCAACAAACTAGTGGTCCGCATACAGCGCTCTCTGGCTGAGCTGCAGAGGGTGAGAAGGAGGGGCGGGGGACAACAAGATATGGGGGGGGTTAATACAGACAGGTGTCGAATCTTTGTGCTTCTCAGGGTTAGACTTCTGATTCTCCTTGTGTCCCCCAGGCCTTAGCTGGTGAAGTGGGAATGAGCAGTGAGCTGGATGAGGTCGCTCGGGCCCTTTTTAATGGTCACATCCCTGCCATTTGGAAGAAGTTAGCACCTGACACCTTGAAATCCCTCGGCAACTGGATGAGCCACTTCCAGAGGCGTTATGAACAGTATAATTGCTGGGTGAGGATGGACACACACTACCACAGATAACCTCTTATAAGTAGCCGTCTGCATTCACACAAGTTATGAATACATTTTTATGTCTGATGTGTCTGTGTATGTTGTTTCCACCAGGTGGATGTGGGAGAGCCAAAGGTTATGTGGCTATCAGGACTCCATATCCCAGAGTCCTACCTGACTGCCCTGGTCCAGGCCGCATGCAGGAAAAATGGCTGGCCTCTGGATCTATCCACACTGTACACCGAGGTGACCCAGTACCGCAGTGAGGATGAAGTCAGTGACAGACCTGGACAGGGTATGAAATGACTCTCACCATTTGCACGATTAGCGATGAGTTAGAAAGACTAATAGTCTTTTTCCGTACAGGCTGCTTTGTGTCTGGCCTGTACCTGGAGGGAGCAGACTGGGATATGGAGAAGGGCTGTCTAGTGAGGAGTAAACCAAAAGCTCTGGTTGTTGAACTGCCAATTCTCAAAGTCATCCCTGTAGAGACACGCCGCCTCAGGCTACAGGTGCGAACCACAAGCGCTACAAGCCTCCATACAATACTTTAGTTCACTATTTTGATGGCTTTTCCTGTTGTCCTGATGTGTGAATTTCCGTGTGCTTTTTACCACAGAATACGCTGCGGACACCGATGTACACCACGTCCTTGCGGCGGAATGCAATGGGTGTGGGACTGGTGTTTGAGGCAGACCTGTTCACCACCATGCACATCTCCCACTGGGTGCTCCAGGGAGTCTGTTTATGTCTCAATGCTGACTAAAGACAGCCCTCAGCCGCACTGAGCTAGTTTGCTTTCACACAGTCTATTTTGGCATATTAATTAATAACAATGTCTCATGTCTGCTTTTTGAGAGAACAAACATGTTTGATAGCTCTGGCTTTTGGGCAGATTACAGGATAAACAAATACATTTTTATTAAAGATTGTACATGGTTTATAAAATAAACTGATAGACACATAAGAAAACTAGGGTATTTTTGACTCAATATCTACTTCATAGCTTTCTTTATTTTCTCACTAGGTGGCAGCACACAACTGTACTGAGCTCTTCACTGTGGGCAGTAGCTCCAGGGATTTCTCTTTGGTGTTACAGTGGACTAAAGTCCCAGTATGTTACAGTGAGTCAGGATCTTTCAGTGTCAGTCTGCTGTTTATTAATGAATACATGTTTGCAGTTGTTGTTGTTTCTCTTTCAATAAAACATTTCAGAATTCTGTCCATTCTCAAAAAGGACAGTGGATGCTCAGTATTTCTGCTGAGGTTGTAAAAGGGAACGTAAGCTGCTGCATACAGTGGAAAATGTACCACTGACCAAAAGCTGCTAAAGTTTTCCACTTTACCCAAGTAGCTTTTCAGCTGTTCCCTGCGGTATAGGCAGGTAGCACTGTGTGCTGTATTGTAACATTTAAGGAACAGATCTAGTGCAGCGTTGAGTAATCAAGGCTGCTGAGGTCAGCATGCCAAAGTAGGTGAAGTTTACTCTAAAAATCAGACCACACCGGAGCACCTGGCAGCTGGTGTGGCAGTGACGTCACAGAAACACAGAAATAAAAACAGCAACAGTTTTGAGCCATACAGTAACACATGCAACATCCATCATGTAGCAACATGAAAATATGTTAACATTTACTAAGTCTTAAGTCCTGTAAAAGCCCAAGATCACTGCCGTGCTTCTCATTACTGAATTGTGTATCTTAAAAAGGCCCCCTCTGAATGGCAAATGGTAAAGAACCGGCCCCGTCTCAGCTCTATCTGGTATGACTATCGCAAAGAGTGAAGATCAGGACATGTGTGTGTTTCCCTGTTGAAAGAATGGTGTGTCTAATGAACCTACACTTCATGTGAGTGAGCAGATCTTCAGTGAATGCACCTACACAGACAATGATGCAGGTACTTCTGCTTGTCTAGTATTAGGGGGGAGGAAATGATGCAAGCAGGAGAATAACAAAAAATTATTTTAAAATCATCTCAGTGGAGCCTAACTCCAGTCACCCTCCTCAAAGGTCAAAATGATTTTCAGCTGCTTGTGACTGAAGGGATTTACATTAACCCCAATCACTATGGAGTGGCCTGGTAAAATACCATGGGTGCCCTGAAACAAAAGACTGACACATCATTTTCCAGATCTTCCCCCCCACCCCCAAAGTTTCCGTTTGTTGTGATTGGGAGCAGGTGGGGTATGTGGGCTCAGTCCCATTCAAGGGCAGTCAGTTTCTCCCTTTTGTATAGGGGGTGATTAGTGCCAGTCTGAATGCCCTTCTGTGAGTGTCAAAGTGTGCCGTCTCTCATTACCTGAGAACGTCACCAAAACTACAGAGCACTAGCCAGTTGCATAAGTGCTCTTTGCAGTCTGCAGCATCTTTTGCAGCTGGTGAGAGATGCAGCTCAGCCCATGAGGTGTAGTCTCCCCAACCACAGATATACATCTTGGGCTCAAGTTTTTGGTTGCAGCGCCAGGAGTTTAGTTTGGACCAGGACCACAGCCCAGTGGTTACTGTATGCTTGCACTGTAAACCTACATATCCCACAATAATGGGACAAGGGAGGTTACAGTAATGTCATCTATGTGTTTTTGTCCTATGGTGGTCCTGTGCATTTATGTCCTATGTAACCATTTTGTCCTATGGTTACCATCATATAAGCATAGGATATATATACAGTATATAAGGTATATATATGTGTGTGTGTGTGTGTGTGTGTGTGTGTGTGGTAACAATCTAGTTAAAGTAACAACCTTACTTGGACTTTGGGCTTTTAAATATAGCCTAACTTTTCGAATCAAATAGTGCCAGAACTTTATCAGAATGAGTTTTATATTAAGTTGTGTTTCCCCCAAAACAATTACTCATCCCCGGCACAGCTCCAGTTATTTCAGAGGAACCTCGGCTCGGAGACGCAGCAGCCCATCATTCATTTAGCACAAGTACAGCGCGTAATGTGCCGTCGCCTTGAGCGCGCATTGTCCTCTGTGAGAGGTTGGAACGGGGCAGAGAAAAAAAAGACCCAGTCTGCTTTTAAAAGACCCGAGGAGACTATAAAAGTGGTTTCATGCCCGCTGCAGTAAAGGCTCGGCTCGAAATGTGCACAGACAGACGGAGGTAGGCAGAGCATATAGAGAAAGGAGGATAACACACACTAAACAACACCCACCCGCCCACGCACACACATTCTGTTGAAGGTTTATTTTCAGATGTGGGCGCTCTGTCATAGGTAGAGACAAACGAGAAGCGTGAGTTCATGGGGCGGCATTCTTCTTTAGTTCACTTAGGATTTCAAGACAGACAAATACACGCCTGTCAGGCATCGTGTGTGTGTGTAGTCTACAGAGGTGCATGTTTGCTACTTTACTGAATAGGATGCGCGTATTCTCTAGCCGACCCGGTGCTGTTTGACACATCCACCCCCACCCTCCCTATTTCCCTCCCGCGAGGTCGGATTCACTACCCGGTCTGTTTTGTAACCGGGGGGAAGTTGGGCTCATTTAAAACTTTTCTGGCCGTGCTTTTGATGCCACGGAAATGGGACCGCGCCAACGGGAGAGCGTGTCCGCGCTTTGCAGAGAAAGTTTGCTTTGGACGGTGCTGATACTCTGGCTGACCGCGTTCGTTGACGGGACTTGGAAAACCGGACTTTACAAAAGCTACTCAGCCGGGACTCAGCTGAGCAGAGACCAGGCAGCAGCCTCTCACTCCTCAGTCTATCAGAAAAGGTAAGGAGGCAACCACTTCCTATTCATTTTATATTATTAGGCAACAATACCTACACATGTCTGTGCACTGCGATTCCTCAAGTATGTCTTGTTATAGCCTATGCAGAGAGGCTACTAACCTTTTTCTTTACTCTACAGTCTACTTTTAAACCTTACAGCCACATGTTGTCACTGCATGACTCAGCTACTCCCATCTCCATCCATCTACCAGGTCCTATTGTCTTCCTGACAGTTGGTTTCCTTTTTCCTGTGCTGGCAGCACACACTGCTCTGTTGACTCCCATCCTCATTGTTGTCCCGCCTCACCCACCTTCTCTCTGTGTGGCTCCTGAGAGTAGCCCCACTGTCTCCGAGGAGTGTTGGGTGCTCTTTGTCCCTTGCAGCGGGACATGTAGGAGCAGCAGCAGCAACGTCTGCTCCTTCTCTGCTGTCAGGGCACTCTTCAGACCATCGCCTTTAGTCCTCCGATCTGTCCACATGAAACCTGCTCCTGTGCTGTGGATCCCAGTGGCGAAGACAGGATGCATCTTGAATGAGTGTTATAGACAGGGAGTGGGGGAGATGTGATTTTTTTTGTCTGTAATAAAGTACACAGGATTGATAGCTTAAGAAAAGGTCACAGTAAAAAGCGGGATGAGTTGTTGACAAGGGCGTTTTTCTGATGAAGAGTCACTAGACTAAACACACAGGCAGGAGCGCTAACCAGCCCTGCTTCCCTCCTAGACAGAACCAGTGTTTAGCTCGGAGTCTAGCCAGTGCTTAATGATGAGAGGAGGACGTTTCCCATCTTACAAATATTTATGCTGTCAGATTGTGTGTGTGTGTGTGGGCTCAATGTGGCCCGGAGGCTGAAACTCCTTTCCCCTCTGATGAGGCCTTCTTCCTCTGGGTGTGTCCAGGTGGTTCTCTCCTTCGCTCCACTGGCTCACCTCTCCACTCAGCTCCCCTGTCGCTCATGGCCAGAGGTTTGTGGACATGTTTACCAAACACATGCAGCTGGGACTCGACCGCATCTGGGCTTGTTGTGGGAAGGGGAAAGGCGAGTTTACAGCCGGTCCACTGCTGTTTGTAAGCAGCAGCGGAGGAATGGCAGGATCAAAGCTCACAGACAGAGGAAGCTGCCGCTGGTGTGAGTCAGCCACCACGGGGAGGTCAGCGGGCTTTAGGTGACATGAGAGGAGCTGGAGGTCTCAGTCCACCTGCTGTCTGGAAGGCCTGATCTGTGAAAGCAGCAGTTTATGATGTGTCAAAAAAGGCAGTGGACAAGACAGTGGCAGTGGGATTTCAGAGAGCAGAGGGATCTTTCATGGGCAGTAGCAACTTGACAGTCAATGACAGAAACTTGTCTTTGTGGTTCAGGAACTTAAAAGGAAGTAAATATTAATTTTAGACTGGGGAAGGATTCTGTCACAGGGAAACCTTCACTAAGAATGTCTTCCCGTTGCAGCTCCTGTCTTCACACAGTGATTAACCAAATCAAAGGGGATTAACAACTCTTGAGTAATTTCTTGACTGGTGTGGTCGCTCTGTGGAGGACCTGATAAAGTGTTCACTCACCCTTGTCGCTCATAACGACTATATGAGCTCAGTACACCGGGGGGTTACGGAGGTAGCTGCTTCTTTATTTCTTGTCTCGCCCACTTCTTTATCCTCCTTTGGAAGACTTGTCATGGTCTGACAGGCAGTCTGAACCCTGTGGCAGCCCCCACTCCTCACCCATCTTAACCATGTCCACGTTTTTCTTCAAGCATGGGAATGAAGATGACAGAGATCCCAGTAGGCTGAGCCCTGTGTGGCCTAAAGCAGAATGGCTTTCCATTTCACCATTAAAAGAATTTCAAGTAACGTATGTGCTCAAGGAACATTTTTTCATCGTTAGTAGGAAGCACTCAACATTTCCACAGCTCCATTAACATTCACTGGTGGCTGATACATTAATCAGGATTACTTTCAGGGAATGAGATTAGTCAAAAATGAATCTGCAGCTATTTGCTGCTTCTCTGTGATTTTATATCATTATAAACTGAAAATCTTTGGTTTTTGGACTAGTGGCTGGATAAAATAAGACAATCTTAACACACATTAACATCTTGGATTCTTGGGAAATGGTGGTTTGCATTTTCACAATTTTTGATGTTTTATAGAATACATGATTCAACAAAGAAACAATCAAAAGATTAATTGATAATGAAAATAATTGTTAGTTGCAGCCATACATTTTTTTAAGAAAGAACTTTTGTTTAAAACAAGACATTTGAAGATGTTGCCTTGGACTTTAGGAGATTGTGATAGCCATTTGTTGCCATATTTCACCATTTTATAACATTTTATAATTAATTTTACAACAATTAATTGATCAAGAAGTACTAAGCCCTGTATCAGTGCCCCAAGTACATACTGTACACTGCAGATGACCAGTCCATAACATCAGTGTCTCATTCATGTGCAGTGGAGCAGCTCAGCTCTCCATGGTGGTACATTTGTGACTTGTAATCGGGCTGTATGGAGCCATAGCTGTGATATAAGTGAATTCTTCAGTCTTTTTTTACCTTCAGCCTCAAACTCCTAAAGATGCACACAGCCGAGACAAACTCATAGCTCGCAGGTGTCCAGGCTTGAAAGCTCAAAACAGACAAAGACAAATGAGAGTTTTTCTCGTTCCTCCGAAGGCGCTGTGAAGAGGCACTTAGCCCAGACCTTCAAGGCCTCACTGTGGTGCTTTGATGATGTTCACCTTCCTCTGCACATGGAAAACACGTGACAGCTTTGAACCTGCTATATGATAGCCCTCCAACCCTAATATTCTGTTAACTTATCATTCAATAATCCAGTAATCAAATGCAAACTGAACTCTTGTCAGTTTTCTTTTCTGTAAGAGTTTGTTTCACTGTTCTCTTGTAGGCTTCACAGGTTCTGTCTGTTTTCCCCATGAAGCTGCAGATTATGACTCCAGGACTGGTCGTATCCCTCTCGCTTCATTAACGTCACTGTGATTGTACTCTCTATTTCTCTCTTTGTCATTTGTTATCGCACCACATTTATCTTATGCCTCTTCTATATCCCGTGGGACCAACAGTGCCTTATAATTGCCTTTCCTTCCACTTCCCTGTTCGCATCGGAAGCTCCCTCATGTGACCCTTATGATAAAATTACCTTTGTCTCCTCTCCTCTGTCTGGCCCTTTGCCACCTCTGTCTTTTGTCCTTTGTTCTCCCCAAGTATTTTTCCCACAGACAGAAATCTAGAGAAATTCCTTCAGATTTTTATCCATGCTGCATTTCAAACATATCTTTGAGTGTTCGGCTCTCCTCCTCCCACAGTACAGTGAATGGATGGGTGGATGGAGAGGTGGTTACTGAGACGCTTCTCACCAGAGTTTTCGCTTTATCAACCCTCTTGTCAGTTCGCACAGCTTAACTCCCAAATTCTACCTCCCCGCTCAGTCTGCTGCAGAAAGTGCAATCACGAAACATGCAGACTGAGCCATAAAGTACGAGGCGAAATGAGGGCACACACAGTAACTAATAAGTTCACGAGCTCTCTGTCAGAAGATATCACAAGATTGTGAATTTAACTGTCGGCTGTGTGTGACTGTGAGAGATGGTTGATTCATTTAGCTCGGGCCCGGCGTTCAGAGTACTCCATGTGTGCTTAGAGACCTGATACTCACTGAGGGCCTGCTTGGTGCTTTTGCCAGTGAAACAGCATGATGCTGGTGGGTTTCACACTTCATAACACATGGGGCCTCCAGTAAGAGGAAGGTGTTGACTATGAAACATTTTAGAGTGAAAGACTGAGTGCACCGAGCACCTGTGTCCCTTTTTATGAATAAAGCCAGAAAAAAATCAATGGACCATTGTATAGGAGTTCTCAGCAAAAACATGAGGAAGCTTATTTGCTGTAGGGCATGTAGGTAAGACTTAATCTTTAGTCTTTTACATACCAGAGGAGATAGAGATGTTACATGTACCCAGTTAATAAAATTATAGGCATCAAAGGATATCTCCAGTCTCTCTGCAGTGGAGGAAGTTTGTTTCTTGCTGCCTTGTTGTCATTATGTATTGTGTGAATCAGTTTGAGCAAGTGTTGTAGGGAATGCAGGTACTGGTTTCAAGCCATCAAGAAAACTGTAAACTCTGTTATGCCAACGGCGTTTGTGATTTCATTCACTGAAGCAGCAGCGGATGGCCTTTTCTCTTCGGTTATTGCATGAGTGCAATGCAAAGAGGGTGGGGGGGGGGGACCATAAAACCCACCCCCACTTCCCTCCTTGTACCCCCTGGTGACGGTCCTAGCTGTTCCCAGGTGAAACCTCCTCTCAGCCTGGGAAACTCAGATGTTTATCTGTTGGGTCTGGAGGATAAGTGGTGGGGAGGAGTTAGGGTTAGTATCCCCTTCCTTTACTCCCAGCTCTACCTGACCACAGCTCCTTCAATTTCTGAAATTTTCCACCCATGATTAGAGCAATTCTTTCTGGACAAGGGAAAGCAATCATGGGGTAATCATATAGATCCATGTTCATTTTTGTAGCCTCACGGCTGATGAATAATCTAAGCTACATGAAGGGTGGGCCCATACTTAAATAACGTGTGTGGTAGATGAATTCCCTGCCCGCTTCACTTGATAGTTTAGGATTAATTAAAACTGTGTCTTACTTTCACACAGTTCCTCTTACTTTTTCATAGTCCCTGGCATGTGTTGTCTCAAACTCTAGCATTTTACATGTGTGACTAAATCTGGCAATGTAACCTTTCTTTCAAAATACAGTAAAGAGTACTAAAATGATTATCATTATTGTATAGGCTACATGATTATTATATGAATGGAAAATATCAAGAGTAATCGTAGCTTCAGTAGCTGCATAGTTGTATCAAAAAGACACATCTCTGATTTGCTGCAGTAGTAGGTGCGCCTACTCGCCGGTTCAGGTCTGTGTGTGCGGCCACCACAACATGTGGGGATTATTAATGGGAGCTGGTTCCTGGTTCAGGGCTGCTTCGCATCCTCCGCCTTTGGCAGTTTCCTTTAGTGTAAACTGTCTCTCGCGCACACAAACATATGGTCCCACATATTGACAAACAGACGTGGTGGGATCACCCTCCCGCTCTTGCAAACACATTGGCAGCAGAACACACAAAGTGTAGTTTTGTGCGACGAGCTGCGCAGTTTCCTTTGTGGTTTCTGCGTAGAGCCCCCTTTCCATACATCTAGTAATTGTGTAAACACAGGCCGTAGTAGTTGTTTTCTCTTGTTTCTCCTCCAGCTATAGCCGTATGAAGGTAATCTGGGTATGTGTACACTTCATTGTTAATAAAATAATAGTAGCATATGGTAGCTTGAACAGCCTCAGTGTGTTTTCCATACATTAAATCCAAGGAATAAGCCTTCAGTGTTTCCTTGATTTGGTAGGTAGAGGGATGGGATGAAACTGGCCTCTTAAGCAAAACTGTTCCCATAAACTTTTCTCCTTTCCCCTGCAGGATTAAACCAAACCAATTACCTCAAATGAATCATCCTTTACACAATTTGGTGCTTTCAGTCTAATGGTGGCGCCAAGTGCTATAACTGTAGCCTTTTACTTTGACAAAATATTTCGTTTTGCTTCTGGAGGCCTTAAGAAATTATTTGGGAGGTGAATGTAAGTGAGTACACTTGCCTCTCACTGCTCTAAGTGATCATATCCTCCCTATCCCTATCTTAACCTCTGATCTTTACATAAACTTTTTTTCCTGGTCCTGGTAAGGTCAGTATCTTAACAGCATCTGAGAATCCTGATAATGTCTTCCCGAAGCCTTTCTGGAAAGGGAGTGGACTCGTGACCGAGCATTAACCCGTTGAAAAACTCTAATCTCAGAATGGGACCCTGTTCTTTATTCTCTCCTCTGAGAGCCGAACGCAAACGGATGTGTATTGAGAGAGTAGAGGCCGGAGTGTAAATACAGCCCACAATGCACTCCTGCAAATCTCGTGGCTGATTAAAACCGTGTAAACACCATAAAAGAAGTTTCAAAACAAAAGGGTGGGGGAAGGGAAGAAAGAATCTAAACCCGCGGGAAGCCAACAGCGCATTGAATGTTGCTGCATGGCTAATTTCCTTTTGTGAGCATGCTTTAGTGTGAGTGCACATATTTGAAGGTGTTTCCTTGAATTATTTACTTTGAAAATGTGATTTTCTTTATCTAAAAATAGATGCTTTTAACACTGCATTTCTGACTCTCACTCTGTTTCTCCCTTCAGGAACTGGTGTCCTCATACGGTCACTAAGACAGTGACTTGCCAGGTGCAGAATGGGACAGTCCTCCAGCGGGTCTACCAGACGTGCCGCTGGCCGCAGGGATGTACAGGAGGCAGGTGAGAAGGCCGTTGTACCACTGAGATGGAAAATATCAACATCTGAATTTTGAGAGATCTGGAATTTCTGACGGCTACAATATATCCCACTTCACTTAAAGAAAACTTTAATCTTTAAAAAAAAAACTAAAAACTACACATCTGTGAACAAACCATTTGCGAAATTGCACCTGAGCCACCATCACTGGTCTATCCAATTAAAATCCAAAGTTAACACTAATACAATCGATTCAGTTAATTTATAAGGAGCTATACAGTTTGTGAGTATCTGGTTTCTCTTGTTAATGGAGTGCTGACGTGGGTAGTCTGGCAGTTGTGGTAACCATGCTTGAACACTACGATGTTGGAATTACGACAGGTTTTCTCATTCTTCCCAATCGGCCGCCGGTTGAGTGAATGCAGCATCATCAGTGATTCACGAGGAATTATTTTGTAAGATGTACCAATTGCACCTAAAATCGTTCACAGTAGATCAAACACAGCTGCAACACATGTTGTGCTCTAAGTAAGCAACAACTCAAAATATTCATACACACCTGTTCCTGGAGGTATACAAAAGGCATTCTGGGAATACTGAAGATATAAAAAAATTAAAAGAGGTGGGTTCAGCAGATGCACCTAGAAATCAAATTACCAGTTATAAATAAATAATCAAAAATAAGCACTTAAAAATAAGTAACTCACTGAATAACAAAGTAATGTCTCACACTTCATCTGAGAGGAGAATTTGTTTCCTTTAATTTTGCTTCACAAAGCTCCCAGATCACATGCTGAGGAGAAAAGTGGCTTATCACACAGTCACAGTGAACACACAGTCAGCTGTTGTTATCTGTGTGTGTGCGCGATGGATTTCGATTTTGTGCGTGCGTGTTTTGCAGCTACAGGACCGTGGTCAGACCTTCCTATAAAGTGGTGTACCGCACTGTGACCTCTCTGGAGTGGAAATGCTGTCCAGGATTCAGCGGTGCTGCCTGTGAAGAAGGTAAGTCAGGACAGAAGGAAGTGCACATTAGTTATACAGCAGCTGATAGAAAAACAAAACAGTTCGGCCTCTCGGAGCCGGCAAACATCACAATCTAGGACTGAGAAATGGCTTGGAGAAATAAGTTCCCCTCATAAATTTAGCTTCTGACAGTTCTCTCTTTCTTTCTCAGCTGCCTGTTCCACAGAGTCTTTCTGTTACCTGCTTCTCTGTTTCCTCTTCTTATAATTCTTTATCTCTCACTCAGTTACCACCACCTCCATCCCTCTTTGCATTACTGCCTTGTAGCCTGCGTATGTGCCTTCCGACACATGTGTACGAGTGATACTTTAAAACAGGAGTGATTTCCATTAGGCTTACATATGGCTGCTTCTGTTTTCTAAATGAAGTTAAGAAATAAGATCCCCCATCCTTTTTGGGGTGAGGGTCAGATACCTCTACTTTATTAATCCAGTTGAATGTGTTCATTCTAGGAGTCATTGTACTACATAAGGGTAGATTATTTCTGTGTGGTTTAGAGTTTTATGGTCCAGCTGGAACCAAGTCTTCATCCTCCTAAAGTGCCATGCTAGCACTGCTGTTTTCATGTTTCAACTTCAGTAGCTGCTCACCGCACACACACACACACACACATATATATATATACTCCCAGTGTATAATGACTTCCCCTGGCACTGGCCCCCGAGTCTCTGCAGTCTGGGGAGATGGGTGGAGTCTGTCCAGGACTGGGACCCAGGACTTTGGTGTAACATAAATTTTCAGGATTTGACACAAAGGACAAAGGACAATACATTTTTACAGTGGTTAAAGTGGTCACTTTTATGTGGTGCTGAAAGCAGAGGCTGTTTTTTCTCTTTCATGCTCCCACTCCCAGGTGAGCTAAGAGCAACTCTCAGCCCTCCCGGTGGTCAGCTGGAGGCTTTTCTCCACTGCTTGCTCACACATGGCACACGTCAAAACAGCCTAAAGTCGTGCTTGTTTTAGACCTTCCCCGCTCTTAAAGTCCGACAACCCAGACTTTACTTAACAAATGCAAAGGAACATTCAGTCAAACGGGGAGGAAATTATCCAATTAAGTTGTCACTGGAGGAGATTCCCCTCCGGTTGTCATGGCAGTGGCGGGCTGGCGAGCCAGCAGGGATGCTGGGATTAGCCACTTATCTAAGCGTCGTTCCGGGTGGCTCAGATCACAGGCGGCGCTGAGTGGAGGTGACAGGTCCCATTCACAGGGCCTTTACTCTCCGGCACCATGGATGCGATCCAGGGCCACCGGCGCTTTGTTCTACTCCTGCCACGTGAGCAGAACCTCTTGCCAGTGCGGAACCTGATACCCTGCTGCTGTCTGCCTCATTCGCCGCTTTAAGGTGAAATAAAAGCTTGCCACACGGGCAAAACTGGAGCCCGGATTGTGCTTAAATCTGTTGCCATAGTGTTGCCAAGTGAAGTTAAAGCTGCGCTCGTGGTTCAGTGGGTGCACGTTTATAACCCAGGCTCTTAATACCTGTGTGTGGTTCCGTCTGCCAGTCTCCCCACGTTTCTCAGTGGATTTCCAGACGGCTGCAAAAACCTATTTGACCTGGAGTTAGGCGGAATTAAAAAGGCTCAGTAAGCGAAGCGCCACTGTTATATGAAAGAACAGACAATTGTCATCCTGCTGCACTTTTCGAAGTCAACTGTGTAAGCTCAGACATTAACAACATATTGGTTTTGATCTCATAAATCTTATAAATAGCTAACACCGGCTACATATATATTGAAAGACCTTCCAGTATTATATACCTTTGCTCCCATCATCCATTTTCCTCTGGTTGTCTGCTTTTCACAGACTGTGGAAAATGTGTATGATCCACTCATTTACTCACACTGCCCTGCTTTTAACTCCCACTGTTCTCTCACCAGGACACCCCAAAAGCCCCTGGCCACGTCTGACTCCCAAGCAGATCTCAACAATGTCCATACTAGCAGGACTCTGGGGCTGCTTTAAGGTGAAAGAGAGGAAAGGAAGTGCGTTATACGCTGAAAGCACGGCAATTGATATGGTTATATTCCAAACAGAGATTAGATAGTTGTTTTCTCTAGTGTCCCTCCGTTGTCACCCCTGTGCCCGCCAGCCGATTGGTAAACATATTTAAATCAACAGGTCTGAAGTAAAAATAACATTTCTTTGTTTAAGTTTTGGATGATGTGTTTCCAAAAACAAAGCAGCAGAGCGCAGAGATTAATGACAAAAATTATGGGAAGAGTTTACGCCATGCTGTCATCCAGTCATACACAGGCTTGGGAGCATATTTGGCCTATCACGTTCAAACTGAGGGCTCCAAAAGCAAAACATTACATCACGCTGATAAACAAACTTACTCTGTCAAGAGTCCAAGCACAGTAAGATAATACAGACAGGCACCTTTCACATTCAGTCTCTTTTTCTTATTTCCTCACCCTGACCTCAGGACTTGGCTGGAATTCTAGGGCAGTGGTGTAATTACTGGGTCCTAATTGTTTTCTATGAGGTTTGGGAGATATTGTCTTACTTCTGGACCTGGAACACAATGGTCTTTATCTCTGATTGAGCCTGAGGGGGAAAAAAGTATTTGCAGATGGAGGCACTTTAATAGCCTGCCAGAAACAGGGATTTAATGTATGCCTGGTTGGTTTTGGCATTCCAAGTAAGTAGATGCTGGTTTTCAGATGGGGATATCCCATCGTATGCTACATCAGACACAAATATCAAAATTATACCTCATTTATAGGCAATTTTGTGAGACAAAGAATATCAAATGTAACTTATAGAAGCAACATTATTACATTAGAGCTGCCTCTCAAAGACTCTATCCCATACAGGTTACATCAGCCTCAACATACAGCACAGCAATGAAGGGGGATTCAGCTAGGAGGTTGAAACCTGTACTATTCATTTTGGACTTTTGCACTCTCTCTGCTAATTTTGGTGGAGACTTAAAAGTGTGAAGATGACACTAAGAGACAGCAGAGGATATCTTGGATCTGATTTGATTTATGGAGGACAGCACTTAAAAGAAATACGGCTACAGCGTACCGCGGGGGGGCCACCGTGCAGCAGAACATATGGAGGAACGTAGACTTGAATTAGCACGGCTGTCAAAGCTCTGCCGTGGGGGTCCCCATCAAGCCGTATCTCGCAGCCAAGCGGAGGCTGCGGTTTCTGGGTTGCAATTACGGTATGGCTGGGAGGCAGAGGCACCCTGTCTGTAATAAGCCGCAGAAATGTAATCTGTGTTTTCACAGCTCAGCGCGGCTTATCACAGGCCTACACGCTAAACCCCACGCTTTAAACATCAGTCGACTGCAGCTTGCCATTAGCAAAGGAAGAGTGGGAGTGTGCGTGGACCCTGGTATATGTGTCTGTCTGACTGCCAGAGTGAATGTGTGGGTGGGAGAGCGAGGTGTTGAGGATTTGTACAGTGAGGGATGCAGCTGTTCAGCGTGATTAGCTGCTTTAACGGCAGCAGGCTTTAGTAGCTGCGAGTGGAGCGACCCCAGCCTGAGGTCAGAGGGGAGATGGCTGAACAAGAGCAGGTGACCTCCACTCCCACTCTGCTTAGACCACACAGGGCAGCACCATCAAAGTCATTGAGCTGACAAAACAAAGACACACCTTTTCGTTCAGCCCTGCTCTTTTCTTTCAGGCCCATTCCTGGATTCCCCTCTGTTGAAAACTGATTTGATGTCCGCTGCATTCACACCCACATCTACAACATTTATGCAAACACAAGAGGAGATCTACAAGGACACAGAAACCACATGCATACAGGGAGGCAGGCTGCAGCCAGCATGCAGAAAAGGCCACAGCAGCTGATATTCATGCTTATGTAAATGGCCAGCACAGCGCAAGTGCTGAGCCGAAATTGGAAGCAGCTGGAGTGAAGGCAAACCGGGCTGAGAGCCCCAGATGGGATTAGACATAGGAGCGTCCAGCCCTTTCAGCCAACGCAGCTCCGCTCAGGGGAATTGTCATTATAGTCATTAATTAACAACAACACCACTGAAAATACCGACCAGCCAACCTAAAATTAAGTAAACCAAAAAGAGAGGAAAGTTTTCTCTCTTCTCCTGTCTGCATTTCTTTTTATCGTGTCTTTGCCTTATGTAAGTGTGTGATGGTATGTGCATCAGGTTTCTGAAAAATCCCACAGTTATACTTCATAGAGAGGTTCAAGGGTTAAATTGGAATATATACTAATAATCATGATGATAGCATTATGAAATTATTTTCTAATGTTCCATGCAAACCAAAGACAGAGCACACATTGTACAACACAATCATTATGACTCCCTATGCCTTTATGGTTTATGTTTGACTTGTGAGGCCAAAGGCAAAAGACAGGCACAGTAATAAATATAATTTTCTTATAGAGCCAGATTCATTTAGACTTGTAGGAGATATGATCATATATTTTTTTTATTATAATATCTATTTTATTTATTTAATATCCTGTGTATCCATGAAGAACCACATTTGGTTTAATGCTTTACGCTCCAAGTGTTTAACTACATCTTCTTGTGTTTAGTCTGTTTAGTCTAAAATAAATGGCAGTGAAGTTCAAGAAATACAGATGCACAGCAGATTAATCTTGTTTTAAAGTTTCATACATGCTTAGCCTTGATTCTCAGTTAAGTTTTATGTATCTGGCTCCTGGACTGGAAATGCCTCTTCTGCTCACTGATTTATTTATTATTTCCCAAGACTTCCCCCGGGAGTACATTGAAAACTGTTTTTCCTGCAGTCAGAAAGAAATAAAGTGGGCAGAGTCACTAGTGCAAAAAAAACTTTTAGGGATGAAAATAGAGACACACAAACACACACGCGCCATGGCAGCTGGATTATTCTTCTGTCCCCAATAAAGCAGAGGCATTTCCCCACACCTAGTTTTAAGTGGATGGGTGTGCTGACTGAGTGACCCACAAACAGACAGGCTCTTTACAGCCTGACAGATCACGCAATCTGGAGCAGAGAGAAGAAAGAC